AGTGAGTCACACACTGTAAAGCTGAGCACGTTGTTCCCCTGTTTCTTTGCTACAAGTTCATATTAATATGACTCTTGTGTCTCAGAAGTAGTGAAATGCTTTTCTTTAGTTTGGGGCCATGTTGCTCAAGAACTAGACATCAAAGTCATCCACTGAAAAAAATCACTCCTTGCAGATTTGATAAGCCTTTGTATAAGACATGGACTTTATTTCCGGAGGTTCAAGCATGACTTGTCTTTTTCTGTCACGGTTTTGGCCTTTCCCCATCATCATAGGAATTAAAAATGCACCTCTCTATTTCTGGTAGTATGATGAAAAGGACAAATGAATTACCACAAGGACATGGGTCCCCGTGGTCTATGTAGGTGGCGCTATGAAATACAGAGGAGCAATACGGTGATTTCTCAGGGGAAAAGGTCACTCTCCAACACTCCACTGTGCAGTTGGCTCCATCTCATGTCTGTCTCCTCTCGTCTACTGGCCCACTGTTTTGTGCATACAGTGTTTATTCTGGTCTCCATGTGGGGCTCTTTCCCATTACTAGGTATCTTCTTCCTGAAACATCCTTGTATCCCCTGGTGAACTCATTCTTGTCTTGTTGACCTTTCTCCAGACAGGCTACCTCAACCTCTTCGGATATAGGGAAATAGCACAATACAGCATCCTGTATTTTTCCTTTGTGCCAATTGCAACAATCATCACATGATTATCCATTCAATTCATTTGCCAAATAGCTGTCTTCTGCATCTATCAGATTTGAAATTTCACGGAGACAAGCCTCATTAATCCATTGCTATTATGTCAACACCCAGCATAATGTGTCGTAAATAAGAGTATTTTTCTCAGAATCTTTGTTAATTTGATTAAAAAAAAAATTCAGGCTCGAAGGAGGGCAGCTGAAATCCTGTGTGGTACATTCCATATTATAGAAACATGTACACTGTAGAAGCACAAAGCAAGTGAGTGTGCCAGGAGACACAATAGGAATGCTAACATTTGAGCTGAACCTTGACGTAGCAATAGATATTCAAATAGAAAGAATAGAAGAAAGAATTTTTAGCAAAAGGACTTCACACGCACATGACTGAGCTGTAAGAAAGTATAGAATGAATTGTGCAGAACACAACTGTAGAGGACTACAGGAAACAAATCTGAAAATCAAGGAAGGAAGTATATTTTTTCCACAAGAGCATATATTAAGCAAACAGGAATAGCACTTATAAAACATGAAAATGAAATCATCCGTTTTTAATTTAGAAACCTCTCTGTAACAGCTGAGTAAAAGCTAGCCTAAAAGAAGTTGGTAAAACTAGCCACTACAATGACCACCTGAATGGTCCAATTACACCTTTAACTCTAGCTACTGGGAAGCTGAGAACTAAGGATCACAGTTCCTGGCAAGGTTTCACAAGAAAGTCTGTGAGACTCTTAAGTCTAATGAACAAAAAGCCAGAAGTGGAACTGTGGTTCAAGTGGCATAGCATTAACCTTAAGCAAAAAAGTTTAGGGACAGTGTCAGGCCCTGAGTTCAAGCTCCAGGAAAGGCACATACAAACACAAAAAAGACAAATGATGATAGTCCCAACTCAGACTATGTATATGCAACAGCCAGAGGAGATGGACAGGAGACAGACATGCCAGAACAGCTCAGAGAGCCTAGTGTGAATAAAGAGGGTGAGATGAGGAGAGCTTCGGATATGGCCAAGGATTCAGCCTGGGCACTGGGGAACCGAGATACGAGCTGTGACGAGAACATGGGAGGCATGGGTTGGAGAACTGGGAGCCAGATTAGAAAAAGCAAGGCTCTTCTGGTTTTAGACAAACTGGCTCTGGCAATCTCCTTCTCATGGTAGAAATGTCTAGTGGTATTTCTCACATTTCATTATCATCCCTTTCAGATCTTATCCAATTCCTTTTCCTAATTGCCCTGTGCCATGAAATTCTGACTGTCAATAAACTGTGCTTTGTACCTTACAAGAGCAAGATTTCTTTCTTTCTTTCTTCTTTTTCTCTTTCTCTCCCTCTCTGTGTCCTTTTCTCCCTCCCTCTCTTCTTTTCTTCCTTCCTTCTTTCTTTCTCTCCTTTTTTGTTTGTCTTTTGTTTTGTTTTGTTTTCATTTTTGTTTTTTTGTCGGTCCCGGGTCTTGAACTCTGGGCCTGGGCGCTGTCCCGCAGCTCTTCAGCTCAAGGCTAATGCTCTACCACTTGAGCCACAGTGCCATTTCTGATTTTCTGGTGGTTTATTGGAGATAAGAGTCTCATGGACTTTCCTTCCCGGGCTGGCTTTGAACTGTGATCCTCAGATCTCAGCCTCCTGAGTAGCTAGGATTATAGGAGTGAGCCAATGGTGCCCGGCTGGTTATTGACTTTTTTTTTTTTTGCTTGTTGGTACTTGAATTTGAACTCCAGATTTTGTGTTTACTAGGTAAGTAAGGCCTTTGTTCATCTGAGTTTATTTTTATTTAGTTTGTTTTAAGACAGCAAGTTTATTTGGGGAATAATAAAGGCAAGCCATAAAGAAAGTCATGAGAGGAAAGTAGTGAGTCCCACTGTGTTCAGAGAGGAGCTCCAAATAAGAGTCCCTGCATTTATTTTTTTTAATGCTATTTTGTATTCTAGCAGTTTTCTGAATTTTTCTCTCTCTAATTTTTGGGTCAATTTGGGATATAATTGGAGTAAAATGTGAAGTTGGACTCCAAGTACATATTTTTCTCCCAGAGGCTGATATGTTCCAGTACCGAATAAACTATCTCTTCCCTATTGGTTCAAACTGCTGACTTTTGTCACATATTGAATTTCCATATGTCTTTGATTTATGTATGGACTTCTTATTCCATTACGTTGGACTATCTCTTTACCCATATAGCAATACCTGACTTAGTTGATTATCACTTCACAATGTATTTGACATTTAGTGGGATAGAAACTTTTAAGTAGGATCTGGTGAAAGGTGTTAGGTCATTGAATGGCATGACTTTGCAGTTGCTATTGGATTTCTAGCCCTTTCTTTCCTTTTTGGAGCTTAGCCTTGATGAGCAGTTTGTTTCCTCCTATTCTCCTGGCTATGATGTGATTCCTCAGAACACTGGTTGATTGGAGCCTGTATCACCCTCCTGAAGCCCACAATTTTCCGTGGTCACTAGACAGCTGCTTGAAATACTACAGTTCCAATCCCATGACCTTCTTGGAATTCTTCCACCCTCCCCAAGGCCTTGCAGTCCCAGTCCGAGAAGTTCTGTTTAGAGGAATATTATGAATATTAAGAAACACTGATTATAAATCTTTTGGCAAATATATACTCCTCGAGAAATGTTAAATAACCGCACGTTCCCATTTAATATCATTTATAGCACTTGGACAACACTAAGACATTTTGCCTCTTATTTGGGACTTAACAATTGGAGAATTCGCAAAGAAATCATTAAGCACCTCTTACGTTGGCCATAAGGGAAGTTCTCGTTATCCCCATACCATCTGCTCCAGAGGATTCATTTTGTTTTGTTTTGAATATCGTAGCACCGAGGGCAGTTATAGGTCACGAAAAATTGAAGTCCTGTACAGTCAATCTTCATCTTGGATGGGAAGTTTGACATGGTTCTTCTCCAAGTGTTTTCATTTTCTTCTGCAACAACATCCCCTGCCCCCAAATTAGTACATGTGTCTCCAAAATCCAATTATGCACATTAACTGGGGAGCTGCTATCTGAATAAATGATTTTCACAAGTGTTCCAAGAAACTTTAACCTTAATCACTTTATCATAATTAATAGTTCTAAATTAACCTAGAGAGCCTTTCCCAAGAGATGCCAAAAAGGAATATAATTTAACTACTTGGACAGTCTCTGCTTGGTCCTCATCCCACTTTTCCATGTCAGAGCCCAGGAACAGAGGCACATGGGCAAGGTGGGCGGTCAGAGTCAAGAGACCTGAACTGAGGCCGCTGGTCACCCACAAGTTGGAGGATGACCTCTAGTGCCTGAGTTTGAATCGCGTGCTCTGGGTGCCCAGATGTGGAGGTCCTTCTGTTTCTTCTCTCTCTTCACTGGAGTGCTAATGAATGCCTTCCACTGCTCTGGAATGCCATTAAACAGGGACTGTCCTTCCTCTTGAGGGCTTTGTGGAGGCCATAATTAGACCAGCGTCTTCCAGTCCTCCTGGCTAACACAGCCCTCCCACCCCCACCCACTCTCTCCAGCAGGGCTAGAGTCCCATATGCCGGCTGGGTTATATCCCCCAAACCCCAAATAAAAAAGATTCGGGGACGGGGGAGGGGGGGGGGTTGCTCTGAAATACTTTGCCAGACTCTACTGCATCTTTAGTAAACTAAGTTAGTACCAAGATCTTTTAAAGCAATCAAGCCTTCATTTACACCCTTTAAATATTTGTAGACAGCTATCACAGCCCTCAGCAACATGATAACCTAGTTCTACCCTCTCTGAGAAATGCTCAGGGACAGTATTAATGTGGTTGCGAAGGATCTTTGGCGACACTAAACAGACTCTGACTTCCTTGTTATCAGAAGTAGAAAATAAATTTGTCTCTGCCCTGAATGCCCAGAAGTTTTGCTTCTTCTTCACAGAAATTCACAGCACAGTGCCCAGCGGAGGTACCACCCACAGCCCTCTGGCAAGCACATTTTATAAGATGTCTTCTTTACTCATAAGATGGCATCTTTTTCATCTTTAAACTCTTCTCCTCCCTATTTCTTTTTCTTCTTATGTTTTTAAAGAAAATGCATGAATCTGTATTTTTTCAGTACAGAAAACTTTGAACAGATTCTTATTTTAAATTGTTTAAAGAAAAATGACTATAATTGTTATTCCTTTGTATGTGTGAGAGAGAGACAGAGAGAAAGAAAGGAGAAACAGATAAATGAACAAATGAATAAGCAAGAAAATAAATAAAAATTGTAAAAAAAAATTCAAACAAAAATGTCACGATGAAAATCCTTTAAAATGTACACAAAAAATAGTCCAAAAGGAACAAATAAGAATACTAAGGTGGCTGGTTAGCTCAGTTGGTTAGAGCTTAGTGCTAATAATGCTAAAGTCCTGGGTTCAATCCCCATACAGGCCATGCCGACATTTAACCAGGCACTCATGGTTTATGCCTGTAATCCTAGCTATTCAGGAAGTTGAGATTTGAGGATCATGATTTGAAGCCAGCCTGGGCAAGAAAGTCTATGAGACTCGTTTCTCCAATTAACCACCAGAAAACCAGAAGTGGTAGAGCACTAGCTTTAAGCAAAAGAGCTTAGGGACAATGACCAGGCCTTGAGTTCAAGTCCAATGACCAAAAAGAAAAAACAAAACAAAACAAACAAACAAAACCAAAATAGAAAGTAAGCTTTTTTTTTTTTTTATAAAGAAAGATGTCTATATTCACTGTTGGAGTTGTAACAATGAATAAAATAATCAGCCCTTAAAAAGCCAAGGCATGGCTGGGTAACAGTGGCTCACTCCTATAATCTTTACTACCCCAGCGGCTGATACCTGAGGATTGTGATTCAACACCAGCCCAGGTAGAATGAGACTTACCTCCAATAAACTACTGAAATGCCAGAAGTGGAGCTGTGGCTCAAGTGGTACAGCAGTAGCCTTGAATAAAAAGCTCAGGGACAACACCCAGACCTGAGTTCAAGCCCCAAGACAAGCACACACACACACACACACACACACACACACACACACACACACACACACACACACACACACACACACACACACACATATAGGTTGTTCTGAATCTTGGGTCCACATTTGCCAGCTTCATCAACCTCTCTCAGTTTTCTCTTCTGTGTAAGGTAGATCCTACCAACCATACCATCCAGCGGACAGAATTCCCAATGGAGCCATGTTGTATAATGCTCATTATTATGTCTGGCACAAGGTGCTTACTTGTGATAGCTATGTGGTATGTGATCTTATCTCCAAATTCTTACATCCTGTTTGTTTTGTTTTATTTATTTATTTTTTGTTTATTTGTTTTTGTTGGTCTTGGGGCTTGAACTCTGGGCCTGGGCACTGTCCCTCAGCTCTTCAGCTCAAGGCTAGTGCTCTATTACTTGAGCCACAGCACCACTTCCAGTATTCTGAGTGGTTTATTGGAGATAAGAGTCTCACGTGTTTTCTGCCCGGGCTATGAACCTCGATCCTCAGATCTCAGCCTTCTGAGTAGCTAGGATTACAGACATGAGCCACCAGCACTCAGCCCTTCCTGTTTTATTTTTTATTAGCCTACTTTGGTTATTCAAAAAGCGATTTCATTGTAACATTTATATGTATGCATACAAGTTACCTTGATTAAACTCACTCCTTTTATTTCCCTTTTGTAATCCATTTTTATTTTCTTTTTGGAGACAGGGTCTCACTATGTAGCTCAGACTGGCCTTAAACTGGTGATCCTCCTGCTTCAGCCTCCTGAATGCTGAGATGATCGGTTTTGAGCTCAGTTTTTGCAATTCTTAATGTTTATTTTACTGAAGTAATTTTCAGTACTCTTTTTAGAGTTAGGATTCAGCATTCTGTATTCCCCACAGGCACCAAAGGCCATGTTAAGCAATCGTGTTGTGTCTTAACCAGCCTTTGGAGGATAGCTTCAAAAACTGAGGTGGTGCAGAGGTCCTGTGTGCAGCCATTCTGAGTCTGCTCATGCTGCAATCCTCCCTCAGTTTTGATGACAGGACCACAGGGAAAGTGTAGAATAAAAGAGGGCACCCCTCACAGCCCCAGAAACATCGGTCAACCCAAATGAGAAGTATGTAAATAAAATATAGGGAAAAGACAAATGAATGTTTTCGGAAAGGGTATCATTTGACTGCTTCTTTCTAAAGTTAAGAAAAAAAAGATCCTTGAAATCTTTTCTGCCAAGAAACTCAAAAAGTATTGAGACAACTCCAAAAGGGCTGGCATCATAAACCTGGTGCCACCCTACTGCCTGTAACCACAGACCCATGCCAACCTGTTGATCCTCACAAAGCAAAGGTCACACAATTGGAGCTGTCACACCAACGATGAGGTCAAGAATAGAAAAGAAGCCAAGAGTAACTTTGCTATGGATAGCAAAGTGAGAAATGGCAGAGACATTTGGGAACTGAAAAGGCTTCATACAGTGAAAAAATAATAATAAATTAACAGACTTTGGCCGGGGAAACAAAATAAAATAGTATTTTTAAATAGTATTTTTACTTAAGATCCAATTGTCTGAGCTGAGATTGAGGGTTTATGCACCCAACATACTGCTTGTCATGGCTGAAGTCCTTGGAGCGGCACAAACATCCAGGGACACCACTCATAAAAGAAGAAATTTCTAAGTGCTGGACTCTGGACAGCCTTACGGGAACTGTCTTACTTGATTTTCATCAGACTTCAAGAGTAGGTGCATTCATCCAGGTCATTCTATCACATGTAAGGGGAAAAGGGTAACATAAGGATATTAAAAGTCATGATCAAAATCATGAAGGGCTGAGATTCACACTCTAGCCAAGGACTCGCCTGGCCATGCCCCTAACCATTATGATATCCTGCCTTCTGCTCGCAGGATTGGGCAACTCTGGGAGTACTGAAAACAAGCCTTGTTGTGGGCTAGGAACACATCGGACTTGATGAGAGCATACTGTCTGCTCCAGCCTGTGCTGAATATCGCAGAAGTTTCCTCAGGAAGGGGATAGAGGCTGAGTGAGGGATGGACTACAACACAGGTCATGCATGTGTGTGTGTATGTGTATGTATGTGTAGACACACAGACATCCACTCACCTTTCTGTTCCAGGTCCCAGACAGGCTGAATGGAATGGGCTGCCTCTCCTTAAGCATACCTCTCTCATAGCTAACACCACCCCTTAGCCATTCTCATCTGCCTCACTTTTCAAAACCCTGGCTACCCAACCAGAGTATATTCTGCTCCAGGACCTGTACACCCAGAATGCCAGCCGTGACCTGATCTGGATTTCTCCTTGTTCTGTGAAAGTTGCAGATACAGGGGCTTGCTGTTTTTTTCTTATTCCTTTATGCTCAAAACCCTGGCTTCATACACACAGAAAAATAGCTATTCTTCAGATAAGACTAAAATCAAACCATCACAGAAACAAAACAATTCTGAATAAAAGCAACACCTTTTTTTTCCCCTGTTAAAATTGCATGAACTTTACTGTCGATTTGACTTCTGGAAACTCCTCATGAAAACTAATCTATTTTTCTGAACTTGACATTTTTGCCATTATGCTCACTTTACATTTCTAACTCTTCCAACTGGGTTTTTGCAACCCAGAGATCAAGATTATTGCATAACAACATTAACAGCTAATAAATTAGTCTCCTCCTTGGTATTTTTTTTAGCAAGATTAGCCAAGTTGAGGCCTTATAGACTTGGGGAGAAACTTCTGGAACTGATTCCCTATAAACTAGAAGGCCAGGGTTCCATGCAAGAGCCACAAAAGCCATCCAGAATTTCTTCTCTAAAACCTCTTGCACCAATAGGATTCCAAATTTTTTAGATTTCAGTGAAGCAATGGGCATATTGTTGTATACTATATATTATTTTCTATTGGGGCCTGGAGTGTCAGCCACTAAGAAAATACATTCAAATTTCTGCTTCTAAATAAATGAATATTTACAATAAGTGTGATAAGTATAGAATATAGTCTAGTCTTAGATCAGGTCAGCTCTGATGATTAAATGAGTTTAGACGAGACCAAGTTTTACTGTTAAATTAGTTTAGCTCCTTTTGGTTTACTCTATTTTTGGACTTCAGGGATTTTATGGGGAAGAAATAGTGAACTTGTATCTTCAAATATTTTCCACTGCTTGAGCATGCCTGTGCACTGATTCAATCCTAACAGGAGCCTGTACAGGAAGGCAGTCTTTAGCAGCATGATCCAGGTGAGCAAACATCCAGGTAGATGCTAGGAGAGTAGCCTGAGGTTACAAAGTAGTATAAGGGCTCAGATCAAGGCTTGTATTCTGGCCACCAGTTATTCATTCATTCATTCATTCATTCATTCATTTATTTATGCTGTGAGAATACCATACAGAGGAGTATATATAATTGGGCAGGATAACGAGTACATTTCTTATCAAGCATTGTTGTCTCCTCTTTGTTTCCTCTTTCCATCCCTTCTCATACTCCGCCAACCTCCTCCCACCCAATCCTCCCCGCCCCCACCACCAAAGTTGTGAAGTTCGTTTTTCAAGATAACAACTTGTACATCTTATGGTTGCAATGGGTCCACCTGTATCCCTAGTTAAACAATTTGTTTTTGCCCTTTCCCTCCACAAATTATACCAACATTAAATACAGTGAAAGCAGGGGTTATACCGTGGGGGAGGGACATACCAAGCAACATAGAAGTCACCTTATAAATATGTTAGAAACAATTGCATGAAAGAAAAAAGAAAAAAAAACATTTGAATACTTATCTTGGGGTTCATTCCCCTAACATCAACTTATCTGACCTTTTCTGTTTGACTCAGACATATACTAGTTACTTCAAATAAGGGAAACCATGGGACCCATGTTTTTGGGGCCTGGCTTACTTCACTTAATATAATTTTTTCCAAGTCTTTCCATTTCCTAACAAATGGGGCAATGTCATTCTTTCTGATGGAGGCACAGAATTCCATTGTGTATATATACCATATTTTCTTGATCCATTCATCTACTGAGGGACATCTGGGTTGGTTCCATATCTTAGCTATGGTAAATAATGCCACAATAAACATAGTTGTGCTAGTAGCTTTAGTATGGTCTTGTTTGTGATCATTTGGGTAAATGCCCCAAAGTGGGTCCTAGGGGAGCTCTATGTGGAGTCTTTGGAGGAAGCTCCATACTGCTTTCCAAAGTGGTTGAACAATCTTACACTCCCACCAACAATGTAGTAAGGTTCCCTTCGCTACACATCCCCTCCAGCATCTGTTGTTATTAGAGTTCTTGACTATAAGCATTCTAACTGGGGTGAGGTGGTATCTCAATGTTGTTTTGATTTGCATTTCTTTTATGGCTAGAGAGGTTGAGCATATCTTCATGTGTCTATTGGCCATTCTTATTTCCTCTTCAGAGAAGTTTCTCTTTAAGTCTTTC